CTCTTTACCCTGGATTGGTGATTTCAGATTGAGGAGGTGAATCGGGAGGTTATTACAAGCGGTCAGGAGGTGGAGACGTGCAACAACCAGGTGACCGAACTGAGACGCCAATTGCAAGCCCTGGAAATCGATCTCCAAGCTCAGCTCAGCCAGGTGGGTGAGGAGCTGGTGCAAACCTCAGCCACCTCATAGAATTTGCAGCTAAACGCAGTGTTTCTCCTGCTTGTATTTGTATTGTGCCCCTTGTCACTCCTCAGAGGGACAACCTGGAGTCCTCACTGGCGGAGACAGAGTGTCGCTACAACAACCACCTCGCTGAGCTGCAGAGCCAGATCACCTGCGTGGAGCAGCAGCTGGCTGACCTGCGGGCAGAGATGGAGTGCCAGAACCAGGAGTACAAGATCCTGCTGGATGTCAAGTGCCGCCTGGAGCAGGAGATCCACACGTACCGCTGCCTGCTGGAGGGCGGCCAGCAGGACCTTATGTGAGTGGGCTTGAGACTCACCAAAAAGTACAGTGGAACACCCGTGTCCTGGTTATTTTGGTGTAAGAGCAAAGGGAAGGTCCTTCTCCCTTACTGACCTACTCGGGCTGCCTGGTGCCAATGGTGGGGACCTGCTGCCCTGCCCTGTGCCAGCTGCTGCCACAAGGAGAGTGGTCACTGAAACCTCCAGACAATTTTCTGCCAAAAAGGGAACCTGACTGAGAGCAGCTGGGACACTGAAAATCTGTAGCTCTAGTTTGTCTGTCCTTTCCCTCACTAAAATGTTATTTTCTGTCCCCTCAGTCAACAAGGAGGAATTGGTCAGTCTTCAGGTCTAGGAGGAGGAGTTGCAAGAAGCAGTGGGATAGGAGGAGGAGGCATCATTAGGACAAGCCACACTTACACTTCGTCTGCCCAGATCCCATCCTGTGCAGCTGCGGAGATCCAAGGTAAGAACTGCCCCACTCTGAGGGTTTCCACAGTTTCCTCTGCTCTAATGCAACACGGATGGGCAGGAAGAAAGATCTTTCCCAGGCAGCTTAAACAGATGTACTTGAAAGTTTTATTGTGGGGCCCCTGGGAAATACAGGATGGGAGCCACAGAGGAGTGGCTGAGAGGAGAGCTTTTGGGAGCTGGGACTCTGCTGAGACACAGTAGAACTGCCAAAGGGAGGAGAGGAAGAGGGATAAAAGGGAGAGGGACAGAGTCAGCAGGCAGGCAAACCATGGGCAACATGGAGAAAGGACTGACATTGAGATGGGGGACAGAGAAAAGAGCAGGAGAAAGCAGAGTGCTCAGAGATCAAGGTGGAGGTAGAAAAAGCAGGAATCATGGGAATACTGGCAGATAACTGCTAGTCCTAGTTCAAGAGGAAGCTTCCAGCCAAACTGAAAAGGAAAGAATGAAATATGGTGAGAGTTGGCCCAGGAAATGAGGGTGAGCAGGGGCATTGCTCCGGCACGGACCCCAATGCCATTCCCTCATCCACATCTCCAGCTTCCACTGCCTGGCATTTTTATGGAGAAGGGCAGCCTGTGCTACAGCACAAACAGATCCATCTGCCTGGCTGGAAGGAGCCATCAGACCTTCCCAAGAAGGGGCAGTATTTATCTGAAGTTCTAATTGAATTGGCTTGTGAAACGATCACGTGTGGGGAATGACAGTGTGGGAAAGAATCCATTTTTGCCATAAACACAGTAATGTTTCCTTTGATCTCTCCAGTGCCTTGCCGAAGGATTTGTGATTAAGCAGAGAAACAAGAATATCCAAGAGAAGCCTGAAGCAGAGCTATGGGTGAAGAGAGAATATTTAGTGCATGTGTCTGCAGAGAGCACGGGGCGTGCTCGTCTGCGCCGCTCAGCCGTGCTAAGCAATGTGCCAGAGGGATGAGCAGAGCGTTGGGCCACATTCTGCTTTGGTTTGCTATTTGCTTTTCCAGTCTGTGTTGCTGTGTGTGGCCCAGCACCACGACTATCGCTGGAGTCAGCCAGTGATCAGCCATCACTAATGTGCCTGCTGCTGAAAAATGTCTCTAATAAAACTTTGCTTGTGCCTGATGCAATCAAGAACGTGCGTCTGAGGCTGAGTTTCTTTAGAGCACCAGGTGCTGAGCCATGGGCACAGTGGGCACCTCAACTGGTCGGGGTCATCCTGCACTGGGAACAAAGCTGCTTTGCCAGCAGGAGCCAGAGAGTGGCCTCCCTGACCTGGCAGGTCTTGTCCCACTCCTGCCTGTCACAGCCTGAGGCAGATGTTGCCTGTTCCTGCATGACCTACATGGACAGGCAGGTCAGGAGACACTTGTGTCCTTCCCACACAGCACTGGGCTAAAACACAGCCCTAGAAAAGTTCTGAGCGTCACTGGTGGAACATCTGGAGACAGGTTGCCTCAGTCCCAGCCTAGTGCTGACACATCTGGGCTGGGCCCTCTCATACTCCATCACCCAGCCTGGCAGTTGTGATTAGGGTGAAGAGGAAATCTTGGTCTCCACAACTGATTCAATTTCTCCTGACATGGCTTATATTTGGACCTATTCCTTTAATTCTATAGAAATCTTCCCACTGGGAAAAGGACTGGAGGCAAAAGGTTTATCTCCTCTATTTTCCCACAGTGACTGAGTCATTTACTGGTCATCCTTCTATTGCAAAGAGTTTCAACCTGAACATCAGGAATGGTTGGGAGATTATCTTTAGATGAAACACACCTTGTCTGGGGAGCTGGGGAAGGCAGGGTGGGAGCTGAAAATGAGCAGCTCAACAGAGAACAGAATGGAGAAAAAAGCCACAGAGGCACTCAAACCTGACAGGTAAGACAAGGATCACTCCCTCCTTGGGCCTCGACCAGCAGCTGGTGCTGAGCCAGCGTGTCCTGGCACTGACCTGCCCCGAGGCACTCTGGGTTTGCAGAACTTGCAGTTTAAAAGCATTATGAGGGTGTTTGGAGGGTTAAAGTGTTGGTCCAGAAAGCCAAGCAGTGATGGGTGACTGTGATGTGGCTGCTACAGAGTCAGATTCACCTGTGACATGACCTGGCAAAGCAAAACTCCTGGTCACTCCTTTTCTGTCAAGGGCTGGAGGTTACGGGCCAGCAGGCTCAGGGCAGGAGGAGGACAGGTACAAAGAGAAAACCACTTCAGGACTGTACATACAGCACACGGCTCTGCTGCCGGCGCTTCTGTACTCTCCTGACACTGAAACAGGCTTTACACAGCATTGAGTCCCTGAAGAAGTTTAACCACTAAAGTCTCAGGGAGCAGGTGAAAGGTGCCCTTGGAGAGAAGATGTCTCAGTAGTATTTCTTTTATTTCATCTACCAGACACTAAGCTCAATAGTATCCATGGGCAAGACGAGAAAATGCAGCACTGGAACACCTGCAGTGACCAAAGTGGCCATAGGTAGAAGTTTTTAAACCAAGACTCTAAATCAAGTAATCTTTAAATATAATACATATTGTGCCTATAATGGCAAATTTCTGTTGGACTCCTCTGGAGCTCAGCTGTTCTGAGCTCTGACTGAGAAGTCAAAAAAGCAAACCTTTCCTTTTTCCATTCCCATTTTCTCCTCCTGCCTTGTTCAGTGCAAAGCCAGACTGAGATAACCCATTGCTGCCCTTTCCAGCCTCAGTCCTTCCCAACCTACGAGTCCTCACACTCTCGTTTCTAAAAATATAAAAGCACTGCACTGAGGCCCTTCCAGTTTCCATTCTTCTGGAAACTCTGGGCCATGTAAGATATATAAAAACTTGCCACTCTCTCCTGGCAGCCCCATCTGATTCCCACCAGCTCTGGGTTGTTCCTCCTCTTGTGAACTGCTGCTGACATCCAGCTGCTCCTCTGGATTCCCTGGGCTCCTACACAGACCTCCCACCCTTCCCACTGCGGCCGGCGGGTCCGAAGCGTGCACTTTCACAAAGGAGCTGCCCTAAATTCCTGAGAGGTGAAAGAGACCTAATGACATGGTCAGAAGGACTCTAATGATCCAGACATGATGAATATGCCTCTGGAAAGCCCCCTGGGGGGGGAGTACAGCCTCAGCTGCTGGGATGCTGTGATGTTGTTTGTGGACCTGTGAGCTGGGATGCACCTGGAAGGCAGCTCAGGAGAGGCAGCTTATGATTAACAGTCCCCCAGCAGAAAACACCCTGGAAACACCCCATTTATTAAAGACCTGCAAATTATGGAGCTGCAAACATTGGAAACTACATTTCCATAAGATTTCCGTACTTCTTTGTGCTAATGAGACAGACCCAGGAAGCTTAGGAGTTCAAGTAACTGAATGAAAATAGGAGGAAAAGCTTAATTTAATCTTTTAATGTTTCAGAACAATCACTTAATTTTATCTTAGTTTAACTGGTGCCCTCATTTCCTGAAGACAAACAGGAAAAATAGTGAGGCAGAGGGAAGTGTGTGTGGTTTGAGGTTCCTGGGCACAGTTTAGGTGGGTCTGAGGTGTCCAGAGGGATCAGGAGCCGTCCCTGCAGTGGGCAGGCAGACACCCTCCCCTCCCAGGGAGCAGTGTCAGCCCGTGTTCCTGCCTGTGCTGCTCTGATGTGCTGCAGTGATAACCGTGGAGCCAGGAAGGAATGTGTGCTCACTCAGGAGAGATGCTGCAGACAGCTGTTGGGAAACTCCTGAGGGATCATCCGCAGCCCGGGCGAAGCTTCCAGCGACGCAGCTCTCGGCAGTTTCGGTCCGTTCCTGCTGCCACGCCCTGGCTCCCAATTATGTTCTTGGGTCCTAGGAATGAAATCCAGCTGTTTCTCCCTATACACAGTAACTTTGTTAGAGGTTTTGCCTATTCTGAGCTTCGTTTCTGTGTGTTTGGGGCTGGAGGGAGGCCCAGTGTGGCAGGCAGGGAGGCACCACGGCTGGGCCCAGCTGCAGCTTTGCCAGTGCCGAGAGCTTTGTCTTTGGGTAAAATCACTTTGGGAAGTCTCTCCACACCCATCTCCAGCTTGCTGGAGATATCACTGGAATGCTGCTGGCTGTTATGGTGCTGGATAAGGAACATCCAAGGAGGCAAAGATAAGGGAAGGCGTCTTTTTAACAGAAATAAGAGCAATAAAATGATGGGAAAATCCAGAAATACTGGGATAATTCAGTCCTTTGGTAAATGGGATCGTTTACCTTCCATAACAAAACCTATTTCAATTGATAATGCCATTTCAGCAAGAGTTTGAAGTCACTCTTCCCTGGTGAAGCAGGCTTGCAGAATTTCTTACAGGGAATGGTTGGTTTCAGAAAGCTCAGGAATGTCTGTCCCTTGCTCCATGGACACTGGAACAGGGGCCCCCAGGGAGAGGTCCAGTGGTCTGGAGTCTTGGCAAAACATCTCACGAAAACGAGCTCAGCCTCACTTTTGATGTCAGAAGTGGGAAAGGATCCCTAGTTTTTATTCTCCCTGCCTAGTTAAGATTCGGAAATTTTACTGACAGAGAAACTCTAGTTTGTACCAAACCCACCTTTCCCAAGCCCATGTGGAGCTGCACTGGGCAGCAACTGCTCTGCAGCTCCATCAGCAGCTCTGTCTTTATATGTGCCAGGACAGCAATCCCAAAGCTCTGATTAGAGCACAGCACATATTGACAGAGAAATTTGCCATAGGATGTTTCCACTCCCATCCACTGTTTCAAAACCACCCTTTCCCAGCAACAATTACAATCCATAATGAGGAAAAGTGTAGAAATTATCTTTCACTGAACAACAGGAAATATTTAAAGCACTTTTACCTTCCTTTACACTCTCCACATAATGAAACAAATCCCTTGTGAATTACTGGAGAGCCACAATCATATATGAAGAACCTTTCATCCGTGTCTATTAAGAGATCCCTCCTTGGTCTCACTTGTCTCGGAGCAGAGTGTTCCAGATTTGTCATTTTGCCAGTGGAGAGATTTAAAGGTTAATCTCTGTGTCTCTGATCTCTCTACAGGGTTCTTACATCATTCCTCATACATCATTCGAGAAGCAAACTTAGTATTTCTTCTTTCTTTTTCATCTTGCATATTCCAACCTCAGCACCTTGCATGAAAACTGCTTGTTCAACTCAAAATAAAATGAAAATAAATTAATGAGAGATAAAGAGCTCTTTGATGCAATAACCTTTAATGATTTCTTCCTGGTATGTAATTTAGGACAGTGTTTTTCCTGGCTTAATGCTGTAAGTTTGCATCATAAACAAAAAGCTGATGATTCATAAAACATTATTGCTAATGTATTTTTGAAATTAGCAAGAGACATGTAAAGCATCTTCCTCGTCTACCAGGCTTCTTGAAAGGAAACTTCCCTTTGAGAAATTATTCTTGGCACCAATGGCTGGAGTAGCCAGCCTTATGGGAAGAAGGAGCAGTGGTGACACCCACTGTGGAAGGTATAAATAGGGATGGGCGGCCACGGCCAGCTCGCAGTCTGATTTCATATCAAGCTGTGCATCTTGCTTTGGGCTTCTGCTTGCCTTGCCAACCGCTGTCGCCATGAGTTGCAACATTAAGGAGACTATTACTGTGTCTAGCAAAGGCAGGAGCAGCGGTGGCAGCTGTATCATTGGTGGTGGTGGTGGAGCACGGATTTCTTCCTATGGGATAGGCAGTGCCAGAGGTTTCTCTGGAAGGAGCTACTGCGGTGGAGTGAATTATGGAGGGGGACTGAGCGTTGGTAGCTTGGCTGGTGGGAGCTATGGAGGTGGCAACTGCTATGGCAATGGCCTGGGGTTTGGCCTCGGAGGAGGGGTGGTTGTTGGGGGTCTCGGTGGCGACTGTTTGCTGTCGTCCTGCGATGAGAAGGTCACCATGCAAAACCTCAATGACCGCCTGGCCTCCTACCTGGACAAGGTGAAGTGCTTGGAGAAGGAGAACGCCGAGCTGGAGTGCAGGATCAGAGAGTGGTACGCGACACAGGGCCTGTCCTGCGAGCCCCGGGACTACAGCTGCTACTACAAAGAGATCGAGGACCTTCAGAACCAGGTAATGCCCCTCTGGGTTGTTCCTCCCATTGACAGCTCATTGCTGAATTTCTGTTTGGAACCTGCTGCACTTGTCAGGGGAACTCTGGTGCTGCTGAATGTGTTCACAAATTAATTTTGGCAAGTTCCCCGTGACACTGCTGAGTGTGGGGGCACATCAAGGATGGGTGCTGCAAGGTGGTACGGGTGGGAGAACGCTCTGGAAAAGGGAAAGGATGCTTTGGTACATTGTGTTTGGACTGTACAGCTGTAAATAGGGTATTACCAGTGTGCTCTGAGGGAATGTAGTGGTGTCAGCTCTGTAGGGAAAGCAAAGCAAAGAGAACTATGGAACAGGGGCAAAACATACACATTGAATGCTTTATGAAGTGAAATATTATAAATTCTAGGTGAGAAAAGCTGCGTGTTGAAACTGATTGTCACAGGGGCACAAACAGCCTCACACTAATAAATCCACAATAAAAGCTGATCCTAAGGCTTAAAGACACCTTCCAACCATCTTCCCTGAAGTCCCTTAAGTCTGAAGCCCAGAACACTCCAGCTTCAATATCAGTTGAGATTTAGTGACTTAAGGAAGGTTCTTCAGGTTCACTTTGTGAAGCCTCTTTGGAACTTGCCTTCAGATCTTGAAACCGAGACGCCCCATCTCACAGCTCTTTAACTTCCAGCCTCTACATAATTGATCTCTTTACTGACTGTGAGTAAAGGAGGCAAAGCCCCCTCCTTCAACTTCTCTGCTCGAGGGACTAGGTTACTTAAGTGAGAAGGTAACAGAAAAAGGGAATTGTGAAGAGTTACTGCCTAATTGCAATGCAGAGAGACCTACAGAGTAGAACAGGAGAGAAGGAGACATCTCTCATGCTCTGCTCTTTTCCAGATTGTCTGTGCAACCATTGATAACAACAAGATCATCCTGGACATCGATAACAGCAGGATGGCTGCCGACGACTTCCGTGTGAAGTGAGTGCCCCCTCTGAACCCGCTGCCTCCCCCCTGCTCTGTCCCACCTCGCTGGGGAGGCTCAGAGCACTAATTACAGAGGCTCCAGACACGTCTCCCCACACCACTGTGGTAGGGCAGGATGATGAAAGGCATTTTGCTCCTGGTCAACAGCCCTCCCTTAATTAGTGTTCTTGGGTAAAACATTTAGCAACAGCGTTTGTGGTGAGGCTGGGGATGGGCACTGCAGGGAGTGCTCCATTTCCACCCCAGACCAGAACAGATGGGATCAGCAAAGCAGAAATGCAGCTGAGTAAGTGATACCAAATACACAGTGAGCAGGAGCAGGGTAAAACCAGATGAGGAAGGAAAGCTTTCACATAACAGACATGAAGTGGTGCAGAAATCCAAGGCACGGTGCATTCAGCATGGACAGCAAACGCAGACCAGAGCAGGGAGCCGGGGAAGGAGATCTGGGCACAAAGAGAGCCCGTGTGGGATGTTCCCATTCTGAATCTGTGCTTTCCTGCACGACCCAGGTACGAGACGGAGCTGGCCCTGCGCCAGAGCGTGGAGGCCGATATCAACGGGCTGCGCCAGGTCCTGGACCAGCTGACGCTCTGCAGGTCCGACCTGGAGGCACAGCTGGAGTCGCTGCGGGAGGAGCTCTGCTGCCTGAAGAAGAACCACGAGGAGGTAGGTCCTGCCCCTCTCCTCTGAAAACCTTTTGCTCCTGTGGGATCCATCCTCCCTTGCCCCAGGGTGCTGCTCTGGGGGGCAAGTGGTTGATGGAGACCACGGTGTGACCCCGGAGCTGTGAGGGTCCAGCAGAGAGGGGCTTTGCCAGGCTCTGCTCCTCCCTGCAGGGCAACTTGGCTGCCTCAGTTCTTTCCTCCTTTTCAAAAACTGACCTGATCTGGATGGTGTTTCCAGGA